CAGTCACATTCGGGTTGATCACAAACATGACATCTTGGTATCCTTGTCTTTCTAAACTCCCAAACCTCACTTTGCTAACAGACTTATTCGAGAAAATCACCCAGTTCACAATGTCCAGGTCTGATGCCAGCTCTCCCTTCTCATCCAAATAGACCCCTTCTATGGAATTATTGTAAAATTGAGAATTTTGAAGGAAGGGATGAAGCTGAAATGGAAGAGAAATTGGATATTTTTAGACAGGACATCCAACCTTGTATGGTAAGATCCCTTCACTTGTGCTGGAGGTAAAGTGAAGTCTTCTCTCTGTATATACAAATGAAGGTATCAGGCTCATTTTCCAAGTTCTTCAGGAGACAATCTATCAATAATTAAATTGTAAAGCCTACTAACTTACACTTCAATTATACATGAACTGGACCAACACTGAGATGGGTCAGAGAGAACCTTGGACAGGTTTTCTTATTATACTCATTAACAATAAAGCAGCATTCCTGGATATCTGTTTCTGGAGGGGCTGACCTCGGTCTTGAAAGCCTCTCCAAGCTTCCTTCTTTTCCACTAAACAAAATCAAGGTGGGCATATTTTGAGTTTCTTTCTAACACCTCCTTCTATCTCTTCACTGTGGAATCACCTGTCTGAGTCCCTCCCTAATGGCTTGTCCTTCTTCCACACTTTAACTGCTCTCTCTCACACCTTCCTCCAGATCAGCTCTCAATTCCTTGACCATGTGCCTACTACAATTGTTAATTAGCAAAAGGGAATAGAAATCATGTTACCCAAGAATGAGTTTTCCAGACAAAGAGGTGACAAACATCTCCTTTATTTCTCCCATTTACCTTGCGCTTTGCTGTGCTGGGTAAACCAATGTGAGATAGAGGAAAGGATGTCTGTATAAAGTCAGTTGGCTAACCCACAAGCTCTTCCTGGGTCATTCCTTTTCTTAGTCAAAGCAAGGGACCAGTCTGTGAACACCCACCCTGTATACTAGTGTGCATTCCCAGCTGGTGAAGAACTGGGGTTGACAAAGCCACTCAACCAACTGAGAAGACCCAGGCAAAGAGCACCAAGAAGCTTAAGATGGGGATGCCCTGTCTTCCCTCTCCTCCAAGCTCTGTAGGATCTCTCTAACACTAACTCTTGAGGGCCAGAACTGTGAGGAGAAGCCATCCAGCACTGCAGAGGAAAGGTGCTTCTTCTTCTTCTTCTTCTTGGGCTCTCTCTCCATCTCTGATCCAGAAACATTCTCTCTATTTCATTGACACTCTGCCTATGTTAAAATACTCTCCCTCTTAGTGGATGTGTGAGTCTGTACATATATTGTGGATGAAGGCTACATCTCCTAGATTTATTGTCCTTGTTGCTATGCCAGGAAGCCTTCAACCTTCTACTGTGCCATCTTGTGCCAAGAGGAAAGTCTCTGTTTTCCTCTTCCTGCCATCTCCTATAGCTGAACACAGTGTCAAATGATCATTCTTGAAAACTGTCCGATGTCCTCTGAACTCCTTGCCTTTCTTTCCTTGATTTGGACAATGGGGTAGATTCTCATTGAGGATTAATTGATCTTACACACCAACCTCAAACATTCTTTGTGATAAACTTCCCAAAATTCCAATTACATTATTATTTGATTGCCTTCTATATCATTACCCGCAAATATGAATGAATATATAGTAGTGATTTTTTATTAATTATTACTTTGGTTTCAGACTTCTTCAAAGCACAAACCCCTGGAATAACTTAGAAAATGATTTTCTGAACAGAATTGTTGTTCTTGGAGGCTCCAGTTCTTAATAATGACCATGAAAACACTTCTCAAAAACTGTTCAAGTGAGATTCATTGTTGAACATGGCAAGAAGCTATCGGAGAATCTCTCTCATTGCATGTAATTTCTAATTCTGAACTATAATCTTTTCTCTATGTGATCTTGATGTTCTTCCTCTATACACTTCTGTAAGGAAGTACACAATTGGAGAGAGAAAGAGGGAGGGAGAGAGAGAGGGAGAGAGATGTAGCAGAGTGTCCCCTCTGGCTTTCTTATGGGGGAGTCCCTCTGCCATCCCCACAGTTCCCCTTGTTGAACCTGTGCAGAGCCTTTTTGGTCATGAGGATCTTCCCGTCGTGTGAAGAGAAATGTCCACCTTCACTCAAGAGGGACTGCAAATGTTTCTTTCTCTCAGCTTTTCTTGCCTTTTCTGTAGCTAAAGAAGGCAAGAAAAGGATAAATAGGATAAATCTTCTCTTACAATGAAGATATCTTTTCAGAAAAAGATTAAAGTCATTTAATGCAAAATAAGCCTTTAATATAAGGTTCAGGAGCTGAGAGTTGAAGATAGTGGAAAAAGGGGGAAAGAATGATCATGGCAGGTGCAGAATCTCTCTCAACTGATAAGCATCCAAGCAAGAATACAGATTAACACACAGGTAGAAAAAACATTTTACTGAGTTTCTGAAGCAACATCTGAGATCAGCCCTTAACATGCAGAAATCCAACTGCTGAGTGTGCTACTGGGTTCCTTTCAAACTTTTGCCAAGGAGGTTTAGTGCTTCAGGCGGTGGACCAGGACTGTGTAGACAAGGGATTGATAGCCCCCCTCAGCAGAGTTCAGGACAATTGATTTTGCCCAATTTATCTGCAGGGTTGTTCTGGGAGAAGATTGGAGAATCTAGTGCTAGGGAGAAAAGTCAAAACTTAAGAGTCCAAAGAAAAATGATGTTGTGCACAACCACACTGGAAGAATTCTGCCCACTGATGTCAAAAAGGAACACAAAGCTCCTCATAGAGACACAACATTGTTCCATCTCTTTACCGATGAATGGGAAGCTCATGAAGACAAAAATCTTTGCTCACCTTGAGGATTACTATGGATGCCTTTGCTCTACTAGTATGTTCTGCTAGAGTAATTCTGCCTCAAGCTTATAGATGGGTTGCTTGACCAGGGCAAGAACCCAAACCTCAGTAGCCTCCATAGCTTTTCAGCCCAGAAAAGATTGGCCATGTCCTGCCATTTGCTGTGACCCTTCAACATTCAGGGTCTCCAATCCTCCTGAAAAACCAAAAGAGTGGCAAAGGAATAAAACCTTTTTGACCAAGAAATGGGGACTGTGTCTTGGCCAAGGCAGTTCTTGAGCAGAGGGACAGTACAGCAGGTGAGGGGTCAGAAGGGTGACACTGTCTGAAAGACCCCACAGATTGGGAGAATAAAGGGGACAGGATTGGGTACTCCTTCTTCCAAGGAAAATGTCAAAAAAGAGAGACTTGCAAGCAAAAGAAGAGATTAGCCAAGAAACCATTATTGGTATGTAACAAAATGATATTTGATGAAAGAATTGAAAAAAAAGAAGGAAGGAAGGAAGGAAGGAAGGAAGGAAGGAAGGAAGGAAGGAAGGAA